TGATGATAAGCTACTACAAGTCCACAACTCCACACTCACCGAGATCCAACCAATGAGGGCAGCCTGGGGACGAGTTGGCCTCTTACGAAGTTGACACCAGAGATTTGATTGAGATGGCGAGTAGGGAACTAAAGCTTGTGCTCGAGTTTATATCTGTTCTTGGAAATAGTTACATGACCGAAAACACATTATCGAAATCAAAAGAACAAGCGGGTGAGAACCAGTTTCAGTAGCGGCAACTGACTACGACGTTTTTAGAGCGGTTTTCACTTGCGTGTCAAAACTAATTCGAATTTGCTTTGGTTCTGCATTGCTATGCGCCGCTTTGTCATCCAGTCAGAAGCAATATAAAGCCAAAACCAGCCGTGACGCGCACACGTTTTCCCGCGCTTTGCGTCAGATACATGTATTTGCTTCGAGTTTTGATTGGTTCACTGGATCGCCTTGTCCTTTGTGATTGGTCACAGTGACAACTTTGTTTGTTTGTTTGTTCTTTTGAAGTCACTTAATAGAAAACCGTTCTATCACTAAAATACTGTTAAGATGTCATGGGATAGTAATACATCTTCACTGCCACAATAGCCACTCGATGCCCAGCTACGGATAAGTTGTGGGGAAAAAATCTTGCCCGGGCAATGAGTTGTGAATACAAGCAGGATGGAAAAAGCTTTTTGCCGACAGTTCTAGCAAAACTTCGCGAAAAGAGGGAATAAAATTGGAGAGCAAGACTTAAATAGGTTAAGGACGGTCCCTAATGACTAACAACGGTCTAAATGACCACTGAGAATAGGGTGGTGAGAATGTTTATCAATAACACGGCATGAATTCGTGATCATTCCAGCAGTGAGGCTGATGCTTCCCAAGGGCTTTGCTTCGCCTTTAAGCCCTGACCAAACGGACTCACAAGTAGTCGCAAGAAGCCGCAAGTTGAACTTGCGTGAAGACGTGAGAGTGGCCTAACGGACTCGCAAGGTTCCTCCCAAATACAAGCAAGTTGCAATAAAACCCATTTCAAGGCTTTCAAGGCTGCATTTCATGGGCTAACAGGTTGCTATAACAACGAATGAACGTCACTTGCGTTGACTTGGGATGGGTGAGAAAAGTTGAAAAACATGCGTCGAATTGATCTTGGCCAAAGTGAGCGCGAATCATCGCACGTCAACGCAAGCACACGCAAGGCCTGGCCAAACAGAGTCGCAAGCAGACCCAAGTTTTCAACTTGTGTCTACTTGCGAGTCCGTTTGGCCACGAAATTAAACAGCTAAAAGATGTGCACAGAAAACATGTTAATAACTGGTTTAATTTCTTTAAAAATGAACGGTACAAGGGACATTCTCGATTTGAAAAAAATTCATTTCTAATTTCTAGAAACACGAGTCTCTGGATTAACGTTTGAATGAGATCAGGAAGGCATACATCAAAGCCAGATAGATATATATATACTTTTAAATTGCAAGGAAACTTTAATGCTCTTAATTATCCAACCCAACAGATTGAAATTTTTGAATTTGAATAAAAGGACTATCTGCTCTGGATAACTGTACCTTAATCTTGATAATTCAAGGCTATTATCAATATTCCAAAATTCTAACATCACTTATTATCTCCTAAGTGATACTTTTAGCAACTGTTACTCCAAACAATGGAAACGAAGTGATTATGGCAGACTGGCGTTTCATTTGAAGTCCACACAATGCGATTCTCCTTAAATTTTCATTTTACATTAATATCACTTGTATTCTTGAATGCACTTCATTCGTAACATATATATTCATGCGAGGTTTGACATTTTTCTTAAAAAAGGAGTAAAAAAAGTATAACTTCCCACAAAGTTTGAGACATTTACTTCATTTTGTGGTGAATTAGGAAGACTTCTTCAAGTCATTCATTAGTTTGGCTAATATGGCGTACGTATCTCTTCCGTTCTTTAACCGCGATTCAGCGTACTGGACAAGACTTGCCTGCAGGCTCAACACCCTTTGCCTGTTGTAGCGAGTCATCTGAAGGGAAAGACAACGAAAAAGCGAGTGTTAGACACTCTTGACACTGGCCTTTTGCGGACAGAAGGAAAAAGGATTTTCAAGCAAGAGAGAGCCGGCAATAACTGAATGTAAAGAGCACACAAAGAAGCTTTCCTCGTATTGTTTAGTTTTCGTACGTATCTCTTCTTTTTACTCCTAATTCAAAAGAAATTGTGCTGCGCCTGGGCGAATTAGGGACGGACCATTATTTTTCTAAGGGGGCAGGGGGGTTGGGCAATTTTCGGGGGCATGACATATTCTTCTCACTGTTAGGTTACACATAACATAAAAAAAGGAATGGATAGTAGAAAGCAATTGCTAGACTTTTCAGGGGTTTTTTTTTTACCCAGCAGTTTTTACTGTGCAGGAATTTTGTTGACAAATTGCCCAGCCCCCTTCCCCCCTCCCTCCTCCCATCTCTCTCTCTCTCTCTCTTTCCCCCTCAAAACAAAAAGGGTCCGTCTCTTACGATCAATGTTCTCGCGTGGAAGGGTATCGTGTGAAAACTCGAAAGAAGGTTGCGGCAGAGGCTGGGAGCACTGTAACATGGTCACACAACACCACACAGATGTTTTGATAGTTTTCACATGAACTTCCCTGCCTTTTCAAATGATACACAGATTTTGGCCAGTCACCTCTTTGTTAGCAATTTCTGATATTGCATTGTATGCTTCTTCCGCGTCTTCCTTGGCTTTTTGGAGCTAAAAAAGAAAGCAAATAAAGACCAATAAATTATAAATGTTCAAATGATCATTGTAGAAATTA